TGTTCAGGTTTTAGTCATACTCCAGAAAAATGTGAAGATTCCTTTCAACCATGGCTGGCTGGACTTCCTGTCAAGAATTTGAGTGATTTCAATAAAGAAACACAACTTTTGGCTTTCATGGCAAACATAAATAAAAAATTTAAATTAATTTTTTTTTTTTTAGTTCCCAAAGGGTTTCTTTAGCCGTTCCTTTTGAAATGAAGTTGCCAGTTTCTAAATTACTGTCAAAAGGCTTAGATTCCAAACTCATAAGCTTTACTGCAGATTTTCCTATTTGTAATGATGAAAATGCCACTTGAAACAGGACCACTACAGTGAAATCAACTCAGCTGTGAAACAGGACTGCAGTTAGAGCTTTATCTGCCTCCATCCTTACAATTATTTCAAATGAAAAAAGATGGAGTAAGCTATGTTACTATTTATAGTAAAAGTATAAAATATGATAAATTATAAATATGAGCACTTAGTAAATAGTAGGCAATAGAGAAAATACACTAATCTGGAGTTATGTCTTCACTAATATCTAGTAATTCACAGGTGGCATGTTACATCTGTGTGCTGTATTTTATTTGACATGTTCACAATCCTTTTAAAGTCAGTCACAAATCCAAACACAGTTAGCAGACAGGGTATTTAATAAAAACAGATTTATAAAACTATTACTCTGTGAAACAGCATTTCACCTATTAAATTTTTCTAATACAAAACCAGCTACTCAAATCAATAGAGAAAGAAAAACAATAAATAATGAAACTATGAGAAAATAATTGAGATGTTATAAAAGCTATAAATACATCAACCATTTCTGGTTGATTTCTGATGATATCAAAACACACTCTACACATTTTCCTTATTTTTTTCTTCACAAAACCTCTCCTGATATCTGCAGCTCCTAATCACTTATTCTATAAATACAGCTCAGTTGACTAAGGCTGAAATGTGCTAAGATGCAGTAATGTTTCAAATTCATACATGAAACAATTTGGAAGCTCCCCCCAGGCACTGGCGGCTGCGGCTCCCGCTGCTCTGCTACCCACAATCCCCCCATTTACCTGCTCGCTGGGCTGCCTCAGCCCTGGTCAGGAAGTGGTAAAGCTGATCCAGCTTATCAGGCTGCTCCTCCAGGGACTTCTCATGCCATATGGCTGACCCAGGCCCTGCAGCCTCCCTGAAGGCATTCCACTTCTGTATCAGAGTGAGGAGCTCAGAGAAGGACTTGTGATAACCCTGTCGCAGCATGTCTATGCAGATGTTCTTCTTGTATGAATTCCTGTAACTGGGAATAAGAAAGGTAGATTTTAAGCCTTTAAACCTGTATTCTGTTCTCCACCTTACCAAATAAGTGCAGATCACTGCAACAGCTTTCAAGAAGAGACCTCTGCAGTTCAGCAGCAGGGAGCAGGTATTATTTCCCCCGCTCAAAAACAGATCTACTAAAATATGATTGCAAATGCCATACCCTAGGGAAGCAAACACGGCAATAATGAATAAATACCTCTATATACATTGAAAACATGGTAAAAAAATACACTGGTATTCTTTAGCTGGTATTTGGTAAAAAAGGCTGACTGATGGGAAGCCCCCCGCCCCCCCATGTTTACATTAGTTCATGAAAACACAATGAACCCTTAGTTTGCTTTAAGACAATGCACAAGGAAAATTGAGGCATATTCTACATGTTAAAAACAATGTATATGTTATTATATATATGTTGGTAAATATATATGTTGTATATGCTATAGATATATGTTATACATATGTATGTTGTTATATATAGATGTCAAATAGTTTTGCTGTAGGACATGATGGCTTGGTTTAAAAATGTCAGACAAATGCCAGGCAGAAACATAATAATTAGATATTATTTTGCTTCAGTTTAACATATAACTTCAGCTGGTTTACAGATGCAAATATTTGATCATTTCTCCCTAATTTTACAAACAAATGGCGCATGATGAATTTTTATTGAAGTTATTGCCTTCATAAACTCAGATAAGATGTACATATAAAAAAGTTGTGGAATCAAATATTCTCAAGTGGTAAAACACCTTTTGGGGTATTTTTTTATGGAAATAATCAATATATTTCTTTTATATGGCACAAAACAATCATTGTGACCTATTCTGGAGAAAACTATGAGTCCAAGGGGACTGTAACACACAGGTACAGATGCAAAGGCTTGCAGGGAAGGATATCCAGTGTGGGAAAAACAAACCTTTACTCCAGTAAAATGGCAAGGACACAGATGTGTTACCTTCTTCTTGTATATTCCATTAAGTGTCCAAACTGCTAACAAAACTGTCCTTTTAGATTGAAATCAATTTAAATTCAAATTATCTCAGCTTTAAAATAAATATGGAATTCTGAAAACTGAGATGTACAATGTATGTTATAAATTCAGATGACACCATGTTAAATAATAGCTCAAAGAGATTAATACTTGGAGCCTAAAAAGAGCTACTGCAATTCTTTAACGATGATGATAAAATGGGATGATGTGGAAAACTTCTTAGCTTAATATCAATGAAATAGACAGCAATGTAAGATGTAGGAAGCAAATAATCTGCATTATTTCACATATGATATACTTAAAATAAAATCTCTTACTACACAGATGCACATTAATCCTTCACACATATTTTTCACATTTCAGTTATAGAACTGAGTATAAAAATATTAAATAATCCTGATATGATTTAGACTAGACAGTACTGAATTTGTGCTTAATATATAGATGTTTTTTGGGATTGAAAATCACACATTATTCACATCGACATGGGAAAAGATGTAACCATTCTGCACAAGAAAACATTTGTAATATGTATCTTAGAAAAATAAATGAGAAATATGTTTAAACATTTACATTTTAATTTGCCAGAATTTGCTATATTTTATACATACCAAACTCACAGCATCTAGCTTAAAAACACTATTATGTTAATTCAGTGAAATGTATTCTCTATTCTGTATATGGATTACATTCTTTTTCTTTCCTGTTTAAAAATCCTATCCAACTAAAAAAAACCCTGAAGAATACAGGTAAAAAAAACCTATCAACTTCCAAAGGCCTAGGACTCAATTCTACAGTAATAAAACTCTGGTGGAATAACAATCTGCATATCAGGCCTATTTATTTGCAATACCCAATGCCTATTTATTTATACAGTGTGATCTACATATGTTTGTATGTGTGCATGTATTAGATCATTAGGTGTACTGGAAGGAAACAAGGAAGTAGTGCTATAAGATCTCAGCAGTCACTACCCAAAATGTCATTGAGGCAATTTTTATCATTCACTGCATACTCACTGAGCACAGAACCAATATTCATAAAACCAGAAAATCTGTGTCCATACAACACATTTTCTGTAGACTGATCTATTTTACTTGAAGTCAAAGCATGTTTTCCCCATAAAAAAGCATTATTAGCAAACCAATACAGGAAAACAAAGAATTTAGTAAAAACATGACAGTTTTAAAAATCAGTGTCAAGAGTGTTTTAATAAATCCCATCCCAATTAATCATGACATTGAAATAATGCTGAAGTAATCCTAATGTGCAGAGCACATTTTTTTCTGAGGCAAAGAGGACTGATTTTAGCACACAATGAAGCTATCTACTGTATAATACTTCAAATCTGGTGGCACAAAAATAAAAGTAATCTCAGTTATAATATACAAAACACACAATAATAATACTGTTGTTTCCTGAAGTTTCCATAATATATAAGCTACAAGGGACTTCTCACACACAAACAATAAAACAGGGCAAGAGATTAATGGAATTATGGGGATAAATGGTATTTGTAACACCTAAGAGAACTCAACACTGCAATGAATTCTAAAATTGTTACAAGTAATCAAAGTGCTTCCAGATGAAAATTCCAGTGTCCTTTCCCCCCCCAACAAATAGCTCTTTTGAGCAGAGGCACGGTGTAGGTAACAACAGTAAACTTTTCATGATTTCTTGCGATGAATTATAAATCCTCAACCCTCAAAATCCTTTTCATCCTGCATTTTATGATTTCATGCATAGTGTAAAATCCAAGGTTAAGTAGAAGAACTCATGTTTTAGATAACTAAAGATTACCTGATTTCTAATGTCAATATCAAAATCTGATACCTAAGGTCCCTTCCAAATCAGGATATGCTATTTTTCCAGGATTTAGTTTATAAAATCTCACTGTTAACATTAGTGCTGTTTCTGCTACATTAATAAACAACCTTACACTAAACACTTTGAGCCTTACTACCTAATAAATTATGATTTATCATTAAATAACCGAGTTTGGTTTTCTGCATTCGTCCGCGCCGACTTCAGGCTTCCTTTGAACAATTATGTTACTTCCAGGAGCGAAATGAGAAAAGACTGCGTTTTCCTTTGCTTGGTGCGGAGCCGTTCAAAGGTTTAATGGTCTCTGGGGGCATCTACTGGACGTGTGGGAAACTGCAGGCAGGATGCGCGGATCCAGGGACACAACAAAGGGCTCCTTGGCCATACCTCGGCACAGGGCGAGGGGACACCAAGGCGCTCGCCTGGCCCTGCAAGCCACGAAACCGTGTCGAGCCAGAGCGAGCAGAAAGCTCGGTAATGTTAGCCGGGTTTCATTTTAAAACTGAATGAGAAGTGACTGCAAACCCAAAGTCCTCTCTTCCCTAGCGTGACCATGCGTGCCTGCCAGAAGAAAAAGGTTTCACATGGATTTTTTTAAAGGCAAACTATTTTTAATGAAATTTGGAAAATTTCCATGCATTTGTAGTTAAAAAAAGAGATACAAATTAGTATCTTTACTAATTTGTATCTTTAAAGCAGAATTGTTTGAGGCTTTTTAATTCATAAAACTCAACAGATGAGAACCACAACATTTATCACAGACACAGCTGATGCTGAGAATCTCCCGTTCCTCACCTGTGCACTCATTTGTGTCATTGCTGAAACCCCGTGATGTTGCTAAATGTTTATTTACACAGGCTGGGCAATGAGCTCCAGGTGGATCTGACCCTACACCAGCAGTTACTGTGATGCAGTGTTCTATCATAAAGTGCTGAAAAATTCTGTGAACTTCTGAGTCGCTATGTCATGATGGGGGTTGTGTGTCATAAGAGTTTTTAGCACCAAATAAATAACCACTCAAAGCTAAAGTAGCCATTTCCGTGGCACCATGGTACAGATGATGATTTTGTGCCGTGGAATATCACAAGAGTGGAAAGACCTACTTATTAAATGTGGATCTGTGAGTAGGAAAGATACTGCTGTTGTTAACACTGTGTTTTAATTTAAGTGTACCTGGATATTGCTATAGGAATTTAAATTTTTATTAAATTATACAGCTACTTCTGTACTTATATGGATTTCTTTTTGTATTATCATTGTTATTACAAAATGATCTAGAGTGATGCTGAGCAATCACGGGAACCAGATTCTAATCGGCCTTTACCAGTGCATAAATTACAAATAGTGAACCTTCAGTGAGGTTAATGAAATCACACTGTTGTTCCAGTCTCGAGGACTTTCCTATAGTATGGTGCTACACTTTTCCAAGACCCTTAAGCAATGATGGGAGATGAGTAGAACATCTCACAACATTGCCTTTAAATCCTTCACGGTAAGGCTATTTGCATTCTATTCTTTACACTGAAAGAGAGAAAAGGGAAAGTAAGAGGCCAAGAGGCAGGTTCTGGTGTCAGAAATAATCAAAATAGTCAGTATAGCATAAGCGAATCATTTATCAGAAGCTTAATTCTCCATGCCTCCTGTCTGATGTGGTCAATTACAGGCATGCAAAATAAGTCCACAAGTCTATAATTTTCAGATGGTAGATTTATATATATTTTTATATATATTTTTTTTTCATATCAGGTTTCATGTATTTAGATTTTCTAGGGCTTAATTAGTACTTCCAGTTAATTCCAGCTGCTGACTACAATACAAGTGTACTAATCCCATTTTGTAAAGCACAAAATGGCATGGATTAAACAACGATAGTATATGAAATATTAAAGTGTACTTCCAGTGTAAAATAATTACTCTACCAATTATTATAATGTTTCAAAACTGTATTCAAATAGGTTTCATCCACTTGGGGATTCCTTTGCAGTTGGCAAGCCAATCTCTGATATAAATGCCTCAGATAAGCATCACAAAATTATGAAAAAATAATAAAGATATTTTTGCTTAAGTTTATTTACACAAATTTCTTTTACTTCCCCCCATTCCCTGTCCATAAATCTACAAAAAAATTTAAAATTACATAAAGTATGTGAACACTTAGCTAC